TCTACTGCATTAATATCATTCCCTAATACCCCACGTCTAACCTCACTATTACTAACCTGGTGATCCCAGCAGATGCGAGCAATATTTCTAAGACATCTGTGGCCAAATATGAGTAGCTTACGAATATCTTCTACTCTTAGTGGCCACGTTTCGCAGTCGTAAAGTAAAACAGAACGAACTGCTGAGCAATATACTCGTTCCTTAATTGATAGACAGTTATCTCGTCTTTGCCATAGGCGACGTAAGTTGGCAAAAAGCAATCGAGCTTCTTGAGTCCGTGCTGAGATTTCGTCAGACAATAGCCCATTATGGCTGATCAAGCTTCCAAGATAAGTGAAGTTGTCAACGCGTTCGACTACTTCACTCGCTATCCTTAGTTCAGTTGTTGACACAAACCAGTCGTGAAGCAACAACCCATCCCAAACATCCTGGCATTGTTGCTCAGTGCTACCAAAAGGCTCTGCATTTTATCAGCGTCTCCACCAAACAGGATTATGTCATCAGCGTATTCTAAGTCAATAAGTGAACTTCCTGGTAGGAGATCAGTCGATGAAAACATAATTTCTAGCAGTAGTTCTATGATGAATTTAAACGGAAATGAAGAAAGTGGACAGCCTTGATTGACACCATTTGAGGTTGCAAAACCAGATGACAGTTCACCATAAGCTCTGACCCGACTGATAGAGTTCGAGTATAAAACCTTCACAAGGTTTATGTACTTATGAGGTACGCCTTTCAATGACAGATACTGTCACTGAACCTCGCGGTCTACAGAGTCAACTGATGCTTTTAAGTCAAGAAAGACCACCATTGTTGGACGCCGATAAGCATGCCTGTGTTCTAGAACCTAACGAATGGTGAATATGTGGTCGATGCATCTACGGCCAGGTCTAAAGCCAGCATGATTTTCTCGTATTTGCAGTTCACGTGTCTTAGTTAAAAGAACGATAATTATTGACGCTAGTATTTCAGATGCTATTTTAGTCAAAAAATCCCTCTACGATTGTCACAGGATGATTTTAATCCTCTCTTATATATTGGGACGATAAGTGATTGTGACCAGTCAGATGGAATAACATTTAACTCCCAGATCTTAGCTAAAATAGTAGTCAACCTAATCGCTAAAAATTGGAACACCATACTTAAAGAACTCTGGAGCCAATCCATCTGGACCAGCTACCCTTCCTCGTTTCAGATTAACTTTAACCTTTTTAGCTTCAGCTAGGGTCGTGGACCTACTTCAATGTTCCGTTCATACTGTCTGGGAATGGAGGATAGTTGTGGAGTAGCTGAAGGCCAGCTGAACTGTTCTTTAAAATGTTCCGCCCATCGTTCTAAACGTCTGGACTGAGAGCAGATGGGGGTGTCGTCTTTTTCCAAAATAGTCTGACTTACACTTGACTTATTGGTTCCAGTTTCTTTCATCAGTCTAAAAAGCTGTCTGGCGTTACCTACAGCCACTGCCTTTTCTATATCTTTTTCTTTCATTGTCCACCACTGCTCACGTCGTTCCTTAGACTTTAGGTTTACCTAGGTCTGATTTGTTTTGGCTCTTTATCGTGTTCAGAGCCTTATGGGGTGAGTTTACGAGAATCCATCAGTGCAATAAACCTTAGTTCTTTGTAACCCTGTGGTTTACATCATTAATAGGTGTCACTGCTGTTTCCACAACTGCTTGTTTATCTTTCCAAGCAACATCTGGGTCAGCCTCGTTTTCAGAACTACCTAAGTGTGACCTCAGTTGTTCCTGGAACCTACTTATGGTTTTCTCGCTACTCAATTCAGTTCTAATTGTTCTTTTTAGTGTGGCTTTTCTGCATCCAGTGAGGCTCAAGCAAATGCGTGCTCGTATTAGAACAAACCTGTATTCGAGAACGAGTAACAGTTTTCTATCGAGCCTCCCCAACGATAACTGATGGCAATACGATCTATTTGAGTCCATCATTGGTATGTTACAGGGGTTCGCCACGTTAGACGACGTCTCCCCTTATTATCTTAAATTAGTGCTTGTTAAAGATTATTGATCGTTTAAGCACAGTTGCAGCAGACGGTCATCAATGTCTGTTCGCTGTGCCGGAATACCGAAATACCCACCTAAATGTCTTTCTGTTTTGTTTAAGCCGCCTACTTTGATATTAAAGTCATCTGTGAATACTTAGTATCTAGCTTTTTGAACAAGTTCAGAAGGCTTTCTATAAAGTTCATCTTTCACTTCCTTCGGGCTGTAGCCAGTGGATGTGTAGGCAGGAACGACGGAGCCGTTTAGCCAAACAGCTTATAGGCGACTGTTAACTGGGGTCCATTCTAATAGTGCTTGTTCTACCCTCATACGTAGTACTATGCGTACACTAGCCAGTTCACAAGAACTTGCCGCCGGGTCGTCAGATAGACGGAGTGTATGTCTCGTCGGGTTTTCGTTTAGGCTAGGTGAGGTCAAGTGAATGACTACACTAGGATCCTGTTTATGTGTTTCGGAGACACAGCATACATCAATCGAACGAGACTCTAGGGTCTAAGCGAAGGAGGCCTGCTGGCCTATTTGGCATAGAATGCGTACGTCGAAGGCTCCAATGTGTAGTGTGGAGCAAAGTTTCAGTAGACGTGTGACAATATTTCGCTCACTAGAATCATCTGGCACGGTGACACTTGAGGAGGAAAATTAGAGTTGACAGTCGAGGTAGGATGAGTGATATGAATTGAAGAGGGAGATTGATTATGAATACAGTGACCATAAGTGCTGTTAAAGGTATGAGGGCGGTTATCACTTCCCAGTTGCCCACCTGTACTTGAAAAGGAAATTGGGTTAGTGATAAGTCTTGCAAATTGAATGCTATATTCGTTTCCTAAGCTATTCTGTAAGCCCCAAGCTAAGACTATACAGTGACCTGAACAACGAGAGAGAAGACGCAAAGTATGCGAGAAGTAGTTTACTCCACGGTTCATTTTAACACAGATAATATTTTTAAATGGCCATGGGTTGCTCGAAGATTCTGGAATGCTACTATAAATAGTAGCAGTATAGCAATCAGCCAATCAGAACCTCTACATGTGACGTTTCACTTCCTTGATATTCTTGGCTAAAACTTCAAGTGAACGCTAATTAGATAAAACGCTTCTTAGTGTTTCCTGATCCTTGTTTGTCTTTTGCAAGAAACTTTCTGGATCACTTCAACAGTTAGAGTTGGTCTTAGTGACCCGAGAGCGTGACTGTAATACTCAAGGGACAACTGTCTGAACCGGTGTCACGCGAACTCTTTGCGGGTAATTTCTGTGTTAGCTCCGTACTTATTGAGACCTTATCGCCGGAGACGGATTTCCGTGGGATAAGGCGATGTGTGCATTTTTAGAGTCGTCCCTTTCTAACCTCACTTTTCCTTTGTGGGATGGCAACATCGCTGTTATGCCGGTTGTCTGAAAGAAACACCCTACTGCCGTCACACATCCGTACGGTTAGCAGTACGACTTCGCCCTCGGACCTTGGGTTTGCTGCTTTTAGTCTCGTCGCTCTTCAACCGACATGTCTGGCATGGTAGGACCTTGAGGAACGATTGTTCCAGACAGTATAGCTCGATTGGTTCATCGCGTCGGGCAAGCCTGACCACCACGTCAAGTTATCAACAACGGTTGGGACGTTGCGCATGACTGATTGACTTGCCGCAAAATTTGGTAAGTAGGACTTCTGTAGACATTATTCTAAAGGTGTAAGCATCTGAGTTGGTTTCTAGAAGCATAGACCCTCCTCATTATTCATCGAGCGCTAACAAGACCGTTATTGTTCTTTTTGTAGTTAGTAATTAAAGTTAATTGACATTTTGGTATTTTATTAGTAATATTAATTTCGTAATTGAATGTAAATAAACTCGTGGGATCCGGTTTCTAAACTTTTACGGTCTTCGATTTATCCGTAAGGTGGTAATTGACAATGTAATGAGCTTCGTGGGTTATGAAGAAACAAAGCAGAAAGATGAAAATTTATCGCTTCTTTATATATGATAGGTAACTGTTGATCGTTTTGATTGATCTTCGTCTTCACAGTTTGAGTGCTTGTGCAGAATAATCCATACTTTAAGTGCTAAAATAAATTAAATTGAAATGCAAACAAAGTATATTTTGGAAATCATGTAATATTTTCTGCAGTTTGTGTTGAGATTTCAGTACAATAATAAGAAGCGTAGTCCCTTGATTTGATGTTCTGAAAATCACACTATCTTGATTCTCTTATCATTTTTCGTAGATCGTCACTTAAGGCCATCATGATTTTTATGATTAAAGTATCACCTTGATAATATCGTCCACTAAGCTAACAGTCCTTAACTTCCACTTCACTAGCGATGAATGACACTGCTTGGCCAATTATTACTAGTTTAGCATATCACCTTAATTTTAAATTCCCACTTGTAAGTCTAATCTTCGACCTGTTTTACGGTTATGATATATTCTTTCATTAACCATGGCACATTCTTCACTATCTGGGCACTAATAGTTACTTACAGAATAATCTGTATGCTTTATTACAATATTTCCTTAGATAGGACTTTTTGTGTGAAAATCGTAGTAGTTATAGTCCATTTGGGTTTCAGCTAGCTAATCAAGGCTTCTTACGCCTCTTCGCTGTAGGCAGCTGATACTCGTTACTACTCACAAAATAATCAGTAGAGAAATCTTAGACTTGCAAACAATCGGTTTTGGTCCTAATAGTTCATTTGTTTTGTCTCAAGTGTTGTTATTGAGTGACACATCGGAATCATCAGTTGCGTCATAGTTAAAGTTACTCCTGATTGAAAAGTTCCAACTACTCCAAAGATTTCTTTTGATTACTTTTAAGATCACTAAACTTAATACGAACCATATGATCTGTAAGCAAGTACATCCTAAGTTAAATCATCACATCACAAAACGCGAATAAGTGTGATAAAATATTTTAATCCATGCTGATTCGTTCATAAATAATTTTGTGACACATTAAACATTCAGAATTTGTTTTTTTTTTACGTTGACAGTTTTATGAAGGTGATTTAAATACAAGAATTGGTAATCCTGGATGATTGGGCTATTAAATATTTTTTGGGATTCTAAATGTCCTCATGATAACTATATATTATTATTTTTTTGTACAGAGTCATTGTAACGCATTTTACTTGTCTTCTAATACACTATTGATAAATATTAATAATGATATATGTTGCGCTTAAAACATTTAATATTGTTAGTTTTTTATTCAATCTATATACCAACTCACTTTTGATACTTGGTAAGTTATTTATCAAACTAAATTGTACTGATTGGCCATCTTAAATGAGTTGAATTTGTACTAGAAACTTAATGAAACTCCTGCTTAGTTATTTTAACTGGTCGGATAAGATTTCCTGGTGAATAACATATGTTGGTCGTCATTGAAGCACTTTTTCATCGATTCATTCCTTTATTTACACCTAATTGGCACCTAATAAGATGAACTAGAGGTCTAAATTTTGAGAATAAAAGCAATAAAACCTCAGTTTTTGTCTCTAAAACATTAAATATTCGGGTGAAATTATACTTTTTTTTATCAAAATGAGTGGTTGCCTACGCGATATTTTAATTTGTTTCCCCAAGTAGCAATTAGAACCCTAGTTAAATGGAACGATTATATTTGTATGATTTATACTTTGAAATTCATGTAATTATATGCACAGAGTACGAGACCATACCTCAACATAAATAATAAATCATAACATATGCAAAACTAAGACATCTTTGGTTCAAAATTGTGTAATAAGTTGGTGCTTAATCCAGTGTGACCTAAAAACAGGAAAAGATATGTCATCAGCTAATTGTTCAAATAGGAGCTTGCAATTAGGTCAAAATTAAAATGTAGTCAGTTTTCTTACAACTACCTTTGAAAATATATAAAGCAGTTTATCGGAAAGTATCTTCCAAGCTGCCCATTTTCACGTCTACTCTCATCCATAATAAATGCCTAGTAAGTATATTTTTTGGGGATTACAAAGTGTCAGTTCAATTATTCATATTTGCATTAGTACCTAACTAAATTGTAGTTAGTGATAATCGATAACGCACCAAGAACCATGCAGCCGTTAGAAGTTGAAATGCAATATAAAGTTCTAAAATATACCCATGAAGGTTTATTGTCGGTTATCTTAAATCACTGCATTGTCAAACGGAGTGTAAATTGCTCAAATTGGCGTCACTTCACAGCCGTGTTGGTATATTGTCTTTAGTATCGGTTGAAAATAACGTGTTGGTTTTTATATTATGTTGGACGCTTTTGATATCATGCAGTGAATTACATGTTCGACACTATTGTATTTCAAACGAGAATTTGTAATCCTCAGTTTTGCTATTATTAGAAAATTTGACTTGTTTTTTAAAGTAACATCTGCATTTAATACTCTACCCTGTTTTTATACAAATTTAGCAACGTAATGGACACTATGATCCTAAATTGACCAAATAAATGAGTATCTTAGTTCACTTTGAAATAAGAAGAGGGTTTGATTGACTTAATCTTCAAACGGTTATTAATAATTTAGGTCAGCTGCAGTCAGTTTTGCATAGGAAGTAACTTATGTTTTCCAATACAGTTGTCATTCGTACTTAAAACACGCGCGCTATTTAAGAAGGACAATAGTATTTTTCCTCCCTGAGTAAATTTCTTTGTTTTGGTCGTTTATTACGTATAAAGACTACTGTTTTCACTTTAATTGAATTTATTTCAGTTAAAGTATTCGACTAGAGTATCGTTTTTGCTGTTCTCTCAATTAGTTTTGTCGTTGGTACTCTTGAGTACATCTTTTTCAACTGTATCTGTTAGTACTTTTGGTCCTAGCAATCTACAGCTCTTCACTTTTTTGGTCATTGATTATTTTTTTGTTTCTGGGTATCATCGCATCTTGAAAAAAACCCCTCCTAAATGACCGGACAGTGAAAAAAAGCAGTTGCCAACGTCCGGGTTGTCGTTATTTTCTTGAAAGCGGCATGCAGTGCGACGAGTGCAAAGGCTGGTACTACGAAGTTTGCACGAACTCAACGCCTGCTGCTTTCAAACGGTTCAGGAAGAACGGTTGTGTATGGCTTTGTCAACAGTGCTGCTCGGATGCAAACAGCTTGTTAACCGAGGCCATCTCTCTGGTTGATGCTGCAAAGAAGTGTTTTAGCAAGCATAGTCGGAACGCGTCAAACAGCACTCGATCTGTCGTCACGCAAATCAACGTGAAGGAAACTAAGGTTAGTCCGATGATAGATGACTTACGCCCGCTAAAGAAGGAAAAGCAGTCTCCAAAGGGGCCTGCCTTAAGCAAAAGCTCAAGAAAAGTAGGGTCTTATTTTCTCCGTCTCCCAGATGTGATTCAACAGGAAACACCTAGAAGCCGCAATCGCAATGGTCGATCGGTTTCAAGCGGTAAACATAACCCGACCTCTCAGGTCGTCGACAACCCCCCAACACTAGGTTTGACGCGACTGTTATTGCTTCTACCAGCACCGTTGACGAATGTGTACAGGTTGTAAGGAAGAAAAGTAGGGATATAAAAGGGAACCCTGCCCCCGTAAAAGTAGTTGAAAAATCGAAAGCCGATCATAGCGACAGATCAGGTATTTTTCATAGAATCAAGGAGAGCGAGAGCTCAGAACACAAAGCTCGTTTTGAGCATGACATTGTACTGATTAGGCAGCTGATTAATCAACTCATGCCTCAAAGTATGACCGGAGTCACCTTGCTAAAGGTGTACAGACTAGGGAGTCTAGCGGATTCGAAACCAAATCATTCCAGACTGCTTGAAGTAGTATTCGGCTCTTCGAACGGACGTGACCTAGTTTTACAGAATGGACACGAATTAAAGGGTTCAGGAGTCTTTATCCGAAAGGACCTACCGTTGGCAGACCGTGTTAAAAGACGGGAGGCCGAAAACGAACTACAACTTAGGTTAGACGCTGGCGAAAAGGGCCTGAAAATTGTAAATTTTCGGGTTGTAAGACTTTGACAGAGAATGATGCCGAAGCCACTCTGGGTGAAGCACGAAGCTTACTTAATAAGCGATCAGAACTAAGTGTACAGATTGACTCTTCAAAGCCACACATAATCGCAGTAACAGAAACCTGGCTGACATAGGCTATAGATAGTATGGAACTTGATTTCGAGGGTTTTACGTTAGTGAGGGCAGACAGAACACAAAAGCGCAAAGGAGGGGGAGCAGCTCTATTCATTAGGAATGCTATCCCATTTGCCATTATCGATAGTGTATCCCATGAGAGTGGGACGTGTGAATTAGTTAGTTGCCGCTTGAAATGCAAAGGACAAGAGCTGCTGATTGGTTTGGTCTATCTCAGTCCAAGCTGTGAGGCAAATGAGATCCTGTTAAGCAGTCTTAATACTTGGTCCCAAAGTGGTCGATGTCTAATCCTGGGGGACTTCAATGCACCTTTGGTAGACTGGGAAAGTCTGTGAACTAAATCGTCGGAGAATTCTTTCGAGCAGGAACTAGTTGGTGAAGTTATCACATGTGCTCTAGTGCAACATGTGGAAGAAGCGACAAGGTACGATCCGGACACCAAATCATCCTTATTAGATCTTATACTCACTCACTATGAGGATGATGTTGCGGACCTCCATCATATGCCACCTTTAGGTAGAAGTGACCACGCAGTTTTAACTTTCGACTTCCATATAACTGCCAGTCACGAGCACGCGTCAGTCCAGTCCAGACCCAACGTCTGGAAAGCAAACATACCAGACATCATTCACTCAGCATCGTTAATAGATTGGACAATAGAGCCAGAGTCCTCCATCGATACGACCTGGGGCGCATTTCGAGATTCATACTTAAAAGTTACCACGCCTCGCATCCCTTGGACTATACCAAAGGAGCCGAAAAACTCACCACCATGGCTCAGTAGGGAGGTCCGTATCCTTCTCCGTAAGGAAAGGAAAATGTGATATAGATTTAGGTTACTGGGGACTGATGAGTCAAAATCTCAGTATTGAAAGGCTCGGAATACTTGTGCCTCGACCCTCCGTAAGTCTAGAAAATTGTGCGAAGGAAAACTTGTTAAGTAATCCATAGAATGTCCTAAACGCTTGTATGCCTATATAAACCAAAGGACAAGGAGAAAAGGAAATATTCCTGCTCTATGGGGAGACAGTACTGCTTCATCATTAGTGGAAGACGACTTTGGTAAGGCTCAAGTGTTCTCGAACTACTTTAGCAACGTATATACATCCTAGGCTGCTGAAGGAATGATCTAACTTCGTTGCAAGCCCTTTAAGTACATGCTCTAACCTATCCGATTCGCAGGGTCGCTTACCAAAAGACTGGAAAAACGCCATAGTAAGTCCTATTTTCAAAACAGTTACGAAACACAAACCTGAGAACTACCGCCCCATGAGCCTAACTAGTGTGGTTGTTACCATCTTAGAAAAGAATTTTTGGAAGGAGCTGTTTAAGTATCTCGATGAAAACCGGATCCTCTCGGAGAAGCAGCATGGCTTCAGAATAGGTTATTCTTGTCTCACTAACATATTAGTGGCTCGTGAAAGCTGGTGTGCTCTTAAGGACTAGAAGCTACCTGTAGACGTCTTCATTGATTTCAGTAAAGCTTTTGACAAAGTTCCGCACAACCAGCTGTTATATAAGTTAAGAAAAGTCGGGATTGGAGGCAATTTACTGATGTGGACAAAAGACATCTTAGTTGGGCGTCAACGAAGAGTACGGGTGAACTCAAAGTTATCTAGCTGGGAAACTGTGCTTAGTGGAGTGCCCCAGGGTACAGTTTTGGGGCCAGTGCTATTCCTCTTGTATGTAAATGACCTTCCTTGTCTCCTATCATCATCGGTCTTGCTATATGCTGACGATGTCAAGATATGGAGAACGATACGATGTAAGAGTGATAGCTTAAAACTTCAAAATGACCTGAAGAAGCTATCTGAATAGTTTCAAACCTGGTAGTTGCCGATAAATACTTCCAGGTGTGTTGTGACACATATTGGTCATCAAGGTACAGATACATACATGATGAATAACACTGATCTACCTGTCGTCCAGACATATAATGAGTTAGGAGTTATCGTTAGCAAAGACCTAAAGACTACTGCACATCGTCGTGCAATAGCCACCAAAGGTCTTAGAACCTTTTGGTCAATATGTAGGGCTTTTAGTCATGTCGACGCCAAGACGTTTTTGACTTTGTACACAGTGTTCGTACGTCCTAAACTTGAGTACTGCATACAAGCGGCTAGCCCCTGCCTTAAAAAAGACAGTGAGCTTCTGGAAAAGGTTCAGAGAACGGCAACTAAGCTGATTCCCGGGATAGCGAAGCTTCCGTATGAATCTCGACTGGCCAAGCTAAACCTTTTCCCGTTGTCATATCGCAGAACTAGAGGCGACTTGATTACAGTCTTCAAATTGCTTAGTGGCAAATTTGCACCTGATATGCCCTCATTTTTCTTGTCTTCCAAAACAGAGAATTTACTAGGACACTCCAAAAAAGTTCACAAGCCCAGAACAAATTACTTGTCAGCTGACTACCGACTTTCCCACCGAATCATCAACGAGTGGAATTCATTACCTCAGCACGTGGTTGGGGCTCCATCCGTCGACTCTTTCAAAAGAAAGTTGAATCAACTGAGAGACCATCATTGCCAGGACTAACATAGGCCATCAAGCCTCCTATCCTTCCCAAACTGAAATTGAAACTTAAT